CTTTTAAAGTCTACCGCAGGCTGAGCAAACTGTGATGCTCTTTGAAAAAGGATTCTTTTACTCTGACTTCATCGTGTGGTTAACTTTTCAGGAAACCCCAAACAGGTCAACCCCTATTGTTTGACTCCCATAACAGTTAATGGATGGACAGACAGACAGACAGACATGGATTCAGATTTACAGAGACACACACCACAGATGATATACGCAGAAAGAGGTCAATTACATTTCTTGGATATACTAATGGACAACTGCTTTTTTGCTTCTGGAAATAGAAAACAGCTTTACATGTAACATAACACCATTGAAATTAAAGACCCTGAGAAAAAAGAGTTATGTTAAAAATGTGGATGCATCAGCTTTTTGAAGAGATCAACATTTGTCCTGGTAGTAATTTAACATGTGTGAGTATTGATCAGTCAGAGGGTGACAAAGATCTTGGCTCTAGCTGGTTGTCGGGTCTTTCAGTACCCCTCCTGAGCCTCCTCACTCCTGACCGGCATTGTTTTGCGGAGAAGAAAGCTATCAGAGGATCTGCCCAAGATTAGGGTAGCCAACTCTTTCCTCTGCGGCTTCCCGTTTGGCCGCTGGGATTCTTTTAGTGAGTGAAAAAAAAGCACATAACTGCAACACATCTGAAACAGTTAACCCTTTCCTCTTAACAAAATCATTGGAAGAATAAAATAATCAAACACAAAATAAAATAGTGTGCCAGCTTGGTTGTGTTGGAAGGTGAAACCCGGCTCCCAGCACCTGTAAAGCTAACTTATATATAAGCACATTATTTCTTGTTTGTTTTATGGAAAAACTAGAAAACATTTCGACATTATGTGCAAGATTATATCCTGTCTTGTTGTCACCGTGAGTTTGCCTGGACACCAGAGGAGACTCCAGGATGTCACTTCTTCCCAGCAGGAAATGGCTCTACACGTAACCACCATCAAACTTTTTTTGGTATAAAATAAACAAACAATATGATATGTTATTAGTGAGCTCAAAGAAATACCCTTAAATACAAGAAGACTGTTGTAGCGGAAATGTTTTAAATAGTCCCCGGTTCAATGTGGAAGCATGTGAGAAAAACAAAGTTGTCTTTAAGAGTTCAAAGTAACACACCATCAATAATTATAAATGGTCACTTTACAGGCCAACTTCTCCTTAGTAGCCACAATGTTTTTCTTTTGGACAGAGCCAGACTAGCCGTTTTTCCTGTTTCCAGTGATTATGCTAAGCTAACAGGCTGCATGGAGGTAACTTCATATTTGACAAACAGATATCAATCTCTTGGCAATAAAGCACATTTGCCTTATTCAGAAATGTCAAACTATTGCTTTATGTTTTAAGAAATATAACATAATCCGTACAATCGTAAAAAGTCCCTCCATCTCACTGTCATTCAAAGCATCACGTGTCTTTTCTATCTTTCCCTTCGTCCTGCCCTGTCCTCTCTTTTACCCCCTTACCATGTGACTTTTCTCTGTCCAACTCCTGTCTCCTGTCTCCCTTCTCTCCTCATTTTCACCCCCAAACACTTTCCCTCTATTTAAATTGAAAATGGCAGAAGTGACAACTGCCAGCAGAGCTCCTCAATGTCATTAGAGCCGACCCTGTGGATTAACTAGAGGAGAGAGAAACTACAGATCAATAACGCAGCTTGTCCTCTGGGTTCTTTTACTTCACTTTGGATTTAGATCTGACAAGCTGACACGTCTACTCTGTTACTATACACCAAACAGTAGGGACATAGTAACAATATAAATTGTTAGGCAAATATTTAGGGGTAAACAAATGAAAAATAAACTAAATACTCTGTTGCACACACCAGCTGATACATTAAAGCTGATGATGGCTGTTAAGGACATTCAGAGAGAATAAATAATAGTATTATAACTTATTATTAGTATGTTTGGGATGTATTCAAACAACATGAAGAAAAATTGAACCCAAGAAAATAAAGTTGTCATCTTGATGTAACTCTACCAGTAATGGACACAACAAGATCAAAATACCTACAGCCTATACGCGTGGATGATCCAATTAACAATGCAATGTGATATCTATGAGATAAAGAGAAATATGGTAAGATGTGTGTGTGTGTGTGTGTGTGTGTGTGTGTGTGTGTGTGTGTGTGTGTGTGTGTGTGTGTGTGTGTGTGTGTTGTGTGTGTGTGTGTGTGTGTGTGTGTGTGTGTGTGTGTGTGTGCGTGTGCGTGTTTGCATCTGCATCTGCATCTGTCCTACTGTGTGTGGTTTGTTTACCGAGTTGGCAGGTAGAGTCAAGTCACCGTGAGCTCAACTAAACCTGATAGGTTCCTTTATCGGAGACAGCTAAAGCCAAAGCCTATTATAAATGGCGGTGTGTGTGGGCGCACTCGGCCAAAGACACACTCATACAATAATGTCCAATTGTAGTCCAGCATCAAATATCATATGTTGCTAAAACAATTTTACTAGATTGCAGAATTTGCCAAACACAAATCTACATTTAAATGCAAAATGTACAACCAGCCTCACAATTACCTCTCAGGAGTTTGTGGGAAAATCTGACATGTGGGCCTAAGACAACAAGACTATAATCACAAAATGCATTATTTCAAATTGTCAATTGATTCTTTTTCCTTACTCTGCCCTTTTTGATGAATAAAAGTGAATTAAAAAGAGAGGGCTATTTTTTGACCGTTTATCAATAAGCTAAACTCCAGGAGTGTTCAGAGTAATCCTTAACAACATTAGAGCAAAAACAGCTGGGACTATTACAAGAATAAACTCTTTCTACTGTGTATTAGTCTAAATGTTAAGTGTCTCAGTAAGTAATGGACAGTGATGATTAAAGTTTGTTGATTTAAGCGACCTCTGCTTTTTACATTTTACCGTTTCAAAACGGTCAAAGCATTAAAAAGCACTACATCAAGCTCAAGGTTCTTATTTACGTATCACAAGCTGTCATGTCAAACACATATAAACACTTGGCAGTTAAAACCATTACTATAACAACAAGGGATTGAGGTTTTATAAACTTTGTAGAAGTTTGCTGGAAAAGAAATGGCTTCTTGAAAACTTAACATTCCTAAATTCCTGCACAATAAATATACTACTACTGAACGTGCTTAATAAAGTGGTTTACAACATCTGATCCTGTGTCTGTGAGTTAAATACGTTTCAACAGTTAGTAGAGGTGCACCACCAAAGGGTGAATTCACTATGCAATGCATGGCTTCCATACATCTATAACAGCACAATTCATTTGAACAATATGTTTTGCCTCACTACACTGCAAACAATATCTCATATTCCCTCGAATAGAGCAGGTATGAAAAGATATGCGGTCAAGTTAACTTGTGCCAGTCGTACTGTCAGTTTTCATAAGTCATGATCAGCATTTTATGGCTGTATTGTGTATCATAAACCTATGAAAGGGCAGTTAAAGCACTTTATTGTTATTTCAGCATTACAAAACATTAAGTTCAAAGTGCTGTGACTCCAGGAGTTGTTCTGAAATAATTGATCTGCATCCTGAAGAAACATGACAACTATGTTTGTAATGACAAGTTGTGTTTTCAGTAAGTTCTGTATAGTTTATGATGCACTGTGACCATCAGAATGATATTAGTGTGTTATATTAGGTATTTAGTGCCATCTGGTGGTTGAACAGTTACAGGATCAGTTCACCCAAATTATAAAGAAAACACATTTCTCACTTACTCTAGCTTTTATTATATTTGTATATTTTCTTTCAACCATGAGATGCCAATATCTATTCAATGAATAGCAATTGTTTGCCGTGGCAAATACATCCTAAAACAATGTCCTCATTCATTTCTTTAGTCTAGATAGATCATTCTCAATCAACAGACATAAAAGTGCTATTTCAAAATAAAATGCATTTGTATTGGGGTAGTGGCCAAAATCTCAGAGACCAATATCAGAAACAACTAAACAAATGTCTTAAGAGTTCAGTGTATACACCTCAGTTCTTGTTAAGACATTTAGACCACAATCATTTCGAGCCATACCGTGTTTTTGGCTTAAAATGTACGTTACTTTTGACATCAGAAAATGTTCTGTCAAAGTTGTTAACATATTTTACAATTGTTGCAAACACTCTTTCTTCTAATCATAATGATCTTAACCAGATCATGCTTAAGACATGTTTATAGCCTACTATTAATCATTATTAAAACAACACTTAACTGAATTACGTTCTGAATTGTGGTGCATAGAAATAGCAGGAAATACATACTAAAGTTAAGTAGAATGTACTTTAGGTAGGGGTTAGGGCTATTGTATTTGAGTAGATGTACTTGTAAATGTTAGTTTACACCAGGGGTGTCTACACTTTTTTCACTGAGGGCTGCATACAGAAATAGGTCTGGGCCACTCAGGTGAGGTGTATTGCCTCATAAGTTAAATTATAAGTTAGCATAATCAATCAAATGTAAGCAAACTATGATTGATTATTGAATATGCTTTAAGAAAAAAACAGCCATCATCACAGCTTTCCATTGGGTTTCATTTATTTTGTATACAAACAGTGTTGGCAGCTCATTCCTTAAAACAGAAGCCTCGGATTGCTGGGGAAATAGGAAGGGCATATTTCCAGCTTACTATATGGTTATTGGGCTTTTTTTTTATCAACTGAGATTGATTTATTTGAAAACTACGCTTATTAACACACATATACTGTGTTATATATTTTTTAATATATATTTAAGAAGTACAACATAACAAAAGCACAAGTTTCATGCGTGGGCCAAAAGCCATTACACTTTTAGAATTAGCTGAGGGCAATTTCAAAATGGACAACGGGCCGCAGTTTGAACTCCCCTGGTTAGAAAGTTAGAGAGCATCTTTGGCTGAATCACTTACTTTTGTCACTTCCTCAGTCCTCCACATCCATGGTCCCCCCCCCCCCCCCCCCCCATGGTATGGTCCTCCTCCCCCATGGTATCCCCCCCCCCCATAACAGGGATGGGCTTCCCTTCTGCATGTTGTGCGCCTGCGCAGTTTGTTGAATGCAATGTTATTCTTGATGCCAACTGTCTGTGGCTTTGGTTTGCGAATTAACTCTTAAATCGTGGTGGTTTCTACGAACCACATATACGTTAACTACAGGGAAACTTTTGGAGATCATCCTTTTTCAGGAGACTGTTTTTGTTTGACTTTTTTTAACTCCGGTCTACTCTGAACCATGTTTCAGAACAAGGTGAAGAACTTCAAAATCAATTTCAACGCTTTAAATCAGGGGAATACGTTCTCCAGTGGCGATGTGATGACAGGACACATCTCATTTGACCTCACAAAGGAAACGAAGATCAGTTCTATAACGATGACACTGACAGGAAAGGCAAATGTACACTGGTCTACCGGAGGTGGAAAAAAGCGAAGACGGAGACACTATTCCGCAAAACTGGACTTCTTTGACCTAAAAAGTGTCATCGTGCAACAAAACAGTGGTAGGCGCACATGAACGCCTTTTGGATGCATGTCAACATTTCATACAACTAGTCATTGTTCAGTAAAGTCACTCTTGTTTGTTTTCTCCTTGCAGCTTCCGGTGGGGCTGCAACTTTCAAGGCTGGCACGCATGTATATCCGTTTACATGCCAGGTCCCGCAAGGGTGTGTCTGATCACGTGACTTTGACCTTCTGTTTTTTACAGATAATCTTTGGGTTCACATGGTGGTTTAGATTGAAATACATTTATTGAGAAGCATGACTAGTATCTAAACCTAATAATATTGTTGTCTACCATGTGATTTAGATCATTTGGAATGGTTATCTTTAACATCTGAGATTGTAACTATTCATTTTAAATGTGTCATGTTTCTACATTGCATAATTTCTCATTATTTCCTCTTTTTTATTGTTATTTTATATTAATGCAGGAACTTCCCATCCAGCTTCCATGGGGTTTATGGACACATAACATACAACTTGACAGTGGCCGTCCACAGACCCTGGCATATGTCCAAAGACTTTGTGACAGAGTGTAATTTTGTAAACCGGATTAATACCAACCAGCCAGAGCTGCATGTAAGTAATCCATGATCATGTTAACCTGACCGGGGGCTCCGTAAAAAACATGTAAAAAACAATATCTGGTTTGAGATACTGTTTTAATAATTTATCAATATTGCTTAAACTACAATTTCACAAACTGGCCTTCTCATCAGTGTCCCACTTTTAAGAAGACGAACCTTGATTAAATGTATCACTCTGGCTTGTATATTTTTATTTCACACACACACACACACACACACGCACACACACACACGCATCTGGAGAGGGCCAACATCTTTTTGGTCAATCGGGACTCGAACCGGCTACCCTTCGATCCCAGGGGCAATCCCCTACAGACTGAGCCACTACCACCCCACTTTTTGGTGATCTTCTAATGTTGCAACTTGACTGAGGTCCATCAACTCACTTATTGTATAAATTCCTGCTAGTGTTAGGGTTAAGTATGCTTGCCTGAACTGCTCAGGTTGACTTATTTGTACATAGTACTTATAAGGCTATGTATATCTATTGACCTTTTCTCTGTGTCCTCTTCTTTTTTTCTTCTTCTTTTTATTATCATGTTCATTGCTCATGCATGCTAATGCTGTTTCTCTGCAGGCTCCTCTCTCGGGCTCCAACAGCATGACGATGTGCTGCCTTTGGTGTACCTCTGGTCCTATCGAGATGACAGCCAGTATAGAGAAGAAAGGCTTCATGCCTGGTAGTGTTTCCATCAACACATTATTATAATTTAACATTCAATATCGTTTATAAAAACTGCTGGCTAAAAACATCACAACCAAACACTGTCTGTTCTTCTTCCAGGTGAAACTGTGAAGATCATTTGCGAGTTTATTAATGGTTCATCTCGAACAGCCACTCCAAAGGTGTCACTGCAACAGAAACAGGTTTTCTACACCCACAACAAGAACCACAGGAAGATGTATGTCAAGAAATTTATGTCCTCGACTGGACAACTCGTCAGTGAACGCATCTCTGACCGTCGCACTGTGATTGAGCTCACTATTCCCTCTTCTGCATCCCTCACCATCTCTAACTGCAGCATCATTGATGTTGAATACTTGATTGAGGTTGGTAACGATGAAAGATATATAGGTTGTTAGTAGAAATGTGTTTTTATGAATCATTCATCACACATCTAAACCTGGAGTTATTACAGGGTGGCACTTTCGGCAACAGTTCTAAATTGGTTTTAATCCTACTTAAAATTGTTTCTATAGGTAAACACACATCTGAGTTCACAAATATGACATGTGGGGTACCTCAAGGCTCCATCTTGGGGACTCTTCTCTTTAACATCTACATGCTGCCACTGGCTCAGATAATGAAAAACAACAAAATAAGTTACCATAGCTATGCAGATGACACACAAATTTACATAACCATTTCACCAGGAGACTATGCTCCAATTCAAACACTGAGTAAGTGCATTGAACAAATCAATGATTGGATGGGTCAGAACTTTCTCCAATTAAACAAAGATAAAACTGAGGTAATGGTTTTTGGAGCCAAGTCAGAACGTATAAAAGTTAGCGCTGAGCTTCAGTCTGCAATGTTCAAAACAACAGATACAGCCAGAAATCTGAGTTTCAACAGTCACATTAAAACAATCACTAAATCAGCCTACTATCACTTTAAGAACATATCTAGGATTAAAAGACTAATGTCACAGCAGGATTTGGAAAAAGTTGTCCATGCTTTTATCTTCAGTAGACTCGACTACTGCAATGGTGTCTTCACAGGTCTCACTAAAAAATCTATTAGGAAGCTGCAGCTGATTCAGAACGCTGCTGCTCGAGTCCTCACTAACACTAAGAAAGTGGATCACATCACTCCTGTTCTGAAGTCTTTACACTGGCTTCCTGTGTGTCAAAGAATAGATTTCAAAATACTGCTGCTGGTTTATAAAGCACTGAATGGTTTAGGCCCAAAATACATTTCTGCCCTCCTGCTAAATTATGAACCATCCAGATCTCTCAGGTCTTCAGGGACTGGTCTGCTTTCTGTCCCCAGAGTCAGAACTAAACGGAGAAGCCGCGTTCAGTTATTATGCTCCAAATATCTGGAACAAACTATCAGAAACCTGCAGGTCCGCTGCAACTCTTACTACTTTTAAATCCAGGCTGAAGACTTTTCTTTTTGCCGTTGCTTTTAATTGAACTATTCATATCTTACACTGCACTGTAACTTTTATTCATGTATTTTGTCTTTTAATGTTTATTTTATTATCTTTGCTTTTTAATGACTCTTTTTAAATGCCATTTTCTTAATGTCTTTCATTTTTGAAAAGCACTTTGGATTGCCTTGTGTTGAAAGGTGCTATATAAATAAACTTGCCTTGCCTTACATCTGTTTTGGATTTTCAGCGGATCGGTCTGTTAAAGTTGTTTTCTTGTGTCACCTATAGGTGAGCTTCAGTGTGAGAGGTTCCCCCGACCTCGATGTACTGTTTCCCATCATCATGTGTGATACCCCTGTTGACGCTCACCCACCATCTTATTTGTGAGTTTTAAATGTATTTAATATTACATTGTTTTCTGAGAGACAACATTTAATAGTGAACAGAAATGTATCAGTCGGACTTGTTACTGCGAGAGATCTATGAATCCTAAAAGGCGTCAATTTCAGTAACTGAAAATTGTAACTGTTAAACATTGTGATAACTGCCATAGGGAATCATACTGCCTTCACTCTGTGTTCAGAGTGATATATATTTTATTAAAGTGGATTACTGTTAACATCTATAGAAAGTCTATTATATTTCAGCGTAGAATTTAGTAGTTTTAGTTCAAGTTGAAGCATTGGGTAAATAATTCTCAATCAGGAATAGAGCCAAAGCTAAATGTTTTGCCACTGTTAGAGTTCAGATTAAATTCTTCTGCTCTTGTCTAACTGATAACGCTATATGTTACTGTGTGTGAAGACAAAGCCAAAACCTTAAAGGGGATTGTTTCAGACAGTCCTATAAAATATAATATGAGGATTTGTAATATATATATGTGTAAGTTAGCAGCGTGTTATGTATGTTTTTATTTTTTCTCAACCTAAGTTATGGGTTTAAAAATGTTGCCATATAAATACTGTTTTGTGAGAAAAGTGTGAAGAGAAGTATTTTACTCTTAAATCTGATTATTACAGAAGTTTGGGCGCAGTAAGTGTTTATGCTGATGATGACAAAGATAACATTCAAACCACTAAATGACTGAACCGATACAATATTGTGCACAATATTACTTCTAGCTCCCTTTAGCAGAAAAAAAAACAGTACAGAATTTATTAAATTCAATATTTAAAGCCTTATTATGTGTCATTGCGGACATCATCAACCTTATTTCCTGGAGAAAAGCCATCTCATATTTTTATTCAAATGGCAGTAACCATAAGAAAGCAGGATTATGTTCATATTCACCAACTTTAGGTGCGTGGTAAATTTGGGTTAACATCATCTCAGGCTGCTCCTTCTTACAGTACATTGCTGCTGAGTGAAAGTTACATTTATAAAGTGGGTTTTGTATACATTAAATGTATTTACAGTATTGTAAAATAGAAATAGAGATATTTTCTTTGTGGGCATACTGCAAAGCTGGACCTCAGTACCTTTTTCTTCTCTTTTTTTTCAATAAGCAAATGTATGTAAACCCTCCCTGTATTACAATCATATATGCAATTTTTTAAAAGTGGGTTTCTCAGAGTTTAAGGTGTTTTGACTATTCATTATCATCTGTGTGCCTTAAGACTAATTTATGTCATTTGAAATACTACTACTAATACAACTCATTGCCAAAGAATACTTTTCTCTTATGCTGCATTTTTCTACGCTTGCACCACGCAGTTGTCATGTTCCCAAAATATGTATTGTCCTAAGATGTTACTTTTAGGTTTTCCTAAAGACTGTCATACAATTGCAGAAAAAAAGACTATGTATTGATGAAGTCAAATAAAACATTTTTATATAAGTATGTTTTGCATCAAGATTTTTTTTCTCTATAACTTAAAAAACATATTGTTGTTGCCCCTTTGCAAAGGCTGGTTGCCACCATGGTGCAGCAGTTCATCTGGTGTCCTAAAGGTGGCAGCACTGCTGGGTTACAGTGTGGGGACATAGTAGTTTGGAGGCTTGGCTCACCATGCTTGCTCTCTGTCATATCTGTTTTTTCCTCTTATGGCGCGTTTCCACTGCAGGCCTCGTTCGGCCTCGCTCGGCCTCGCTCGGTTTGGTTAGGCCTTATTATGGCGCGTTTCCACTGCAGCGGGTAGCTCGCTTTAAGCGTGCCGAGCCGTGCGGGGCCCGTTTTTGGTTGCGTTTCCACTTGGCCTAGTTTTGGCCCGGGGCTACTTTTTCACCTTTTTTCTGGCCCGACTAAATCGTGGTTCTAGGGCCAGGAACAACCAGGCTGAGTCGGGCTGAGTATGCTAAACTAGAGAGAGAATCGCTGGCAAGGGGGCTACAACTACAACAAGATGAACATATTTGACCGTGAATTAATTGTAATACACGTTTCAAAATGATGCCGAAGTAACAACATACTGATACCGGTTAGTAAAAACCATGAATTAATGCTTTGACAAGTCTGCAGACAGACGGCAGGCGAAAAACCCTTTTAAAATGCGTGTTTTCTAAATGTAGCTTGGCTAAGCTAACGTTATATATGCTCCGACCGTCCACACTCACAACAACGGCCTATACAGACATAAATAAACCAGCGACTGTATTCGCCATGACACAGGCAGTCTGTGGTTTGTACTTGTTTAACTTTTGTCAAGTTTCTGAACAGATATGAAGAGCTGTGAGCTCTGAGTGCTAAGAGCTAACGGCTGTGTTGTTTTTCTGGGGCTCTCATTGAAGATGACGTCACGGCTCCGCCTACACTGCGTTACTATAGTAACTGCCCCAGTTCCTAAACTGTAATGGAAACGCAGCATTAAAGTGAGCCGGGCCTTATGGCGCGTTTCCACTGCAGCGGGTAGCCCCGTTTAAGCGTCCTTAACCGTCCTCAAGCGGCCAGGCCGGTTTTTGGTGGCGTTTCCATATAGCCTAGTACCGGCCAGCGGGTACTTTTTCCCTCTTTTTCCGGCCTCATAAAATCGTGGTTCCCTCAGACCAGGGCCAGGGCTGAACTAGTGACGTCAACACTCTCGACTGCTGATTGGTCAGAGAGAATCGTCACAAGATCGCGCGCGAGTTCATCCCTAGCGTCGCATATATATTTAGAAGCAAGCTTGCAGCATTTTTATAAACAGCATTTTGTAAACGGATGAGCTACAAAAATGGCTACGTCTAATAAGAAAAGCACACCGTGGTCGACCGAGGAGGTGACGACGTTCCTACATCTCATTGGGGATGATCAAATCCAGCGGGAGCTCGACGGAACAACTCGAAATGTGAACAAAAACAAAGCCGATCGCCCCGCCTACACTGCGTTGCTACCCCAGGTCCTAAACTGTAATGGAAATGCGCCACGGCCTGGGCCGGCCAGCGAGGCAGCCCGAGGCCAGAGCGAGGACGCTTAGGGACGCTTAAACGGGGCTACCCCGCTGCAGTGGAAACGCGCCATTAGACCCCAGTAACTCACAGGCACTACCGGCCTGGCCGCTTGAGGACGGTTAAGGACGCTTAAACGGGGCTACCCGCTGCAGTGGAAACGCGCCAACTATATCAATGTTAAATGTTATCAGGTAATGACATCATTATGAGTTGTGTAAAAGGACTGAACAACCCTCGATTGATTGTAGGAAAGTCTGATATCACCAGGCTATGACTGTGTGGGCTTTAACATTCAATTATTTGGTGTACTATAAGAGTTTGTAATAGGTTATTTAATAAATAATTATCAAGTGTTATTCATATTATGGAAATAACATGTTGGTTGACATAATGTATTAATTCTTCAATTCACTTCATTATTCGAAACACTTTGTAACCCTATTAAGAAAGTTATATAAAACAGCTTCACGTACTAATATACACACTTTTGCTAGCATTATGCTAGTTAAATGTAATCCCATACACATCAGGCAATTAACAGTATTAATAATATAGATGCCAAAATGCGTGACATGCTGCACTTTGTCTGGATTCCATTGCTCATTATTTCCAGAATTGATTTAACTCACATGATCTGTGCTCATGTGTTTGACCGAACACGCCTGCAGAAGGATAGCCAGCAGCAGCCTGTAGTACATCATGCTATCACCACTTACACACAGTTAGAATGAGCTCATTCACTAATTTATTTTAACAGAAAAAAACATTTGAACCCTAATTTCCTTGAAGTCCGGTTGAGTTGAAAAGGTCTACATTAAAGTTAATAGAACAAACAGCAATATTCTTTCAGCATGAATCAACACGTTATTGCAGAGTATAGCTTGCAGAGCTAGTTGTGTTAAGGAATTGGTTTGGAAATGGGCCAGTGTGTTTCATGACATACATAGACAGTAAGGGTGTAACGGTATCCGTATTCGTCCCGTACCGTCACGGTTCGGACGTCACGGTTCGGCACATGCAGTCACACGGCGAATACGCCTTTTTTTTTTTTACGAGTGGGGAAAAAGTCTGTCATTCAGGGCAGTATCCACTACACTATATATAATCCAGGGGGCGGTATTGCGCCTAAAAGCTGTTTGCCAGCCGCCCTTAAACAACAAATGAAGAACAGGACTGCTTCTCAGGTCGATTAAATGAAATCCTTGCTTCCCTCACTTGCGTCGTTTCCCTGCGTTTAGTCCCTCCTACCAGGGAAGCATGGAGGGACGCAAGGAAACCACGAGAAGCAGGGAAATGAGTTTTAAGAGCAATGGGACGTCCTTTCCTCCGGAGCGTCACGTGAAGCGACGTCCGTTTGTGATGACGCTGCACAGCTGATCGTCTGACAGCAGCTCTGTCCCCGTTATTTCCACACACACCCCCGACTCTGTTAGTACACATTTACTGACACAAACATTTGTATCATCTGTTGTAGATCCCAATAAATAAAAATAAAATAAGAACTCATTCTCAAAAAAGATAAACGCCATTCTTAAAATGTATAAACGAACAATAGTTTGATTAATATTGATTAGAGTGCACAAAAGAAATAAAATAATTGAGAGAAGAAAAAGAGATATGTTATCTATCAAAACCCAGTTAGATTAACATTCATTGGATTGCACACTTTGTTTGTTTGTTTGTTTGGATATGTAGCACATTAACATTTTAATAGCACTTAATGACTGACTGAATGGAAATGACAATAAATGTAAATGTAAAACGAAAAAAGCGATCATGAAAATGTTTCCAACAAATGAATACAATGATTTTTGACCACTTTGTTGTTCAGATATATCACATATTTGTAACTAAATGAAACATGAATTGAAACAAAACACGGTATAAACTGAGGAGTGACTCCCGTGAGGTTCATGTATTTTCTTCACTCTGCTCTCATGTCAAGAAGCATGAGATCAGTGCATGCACTGCATCGTCCAATCAGTGAGCGATACACAGTAAGGGGGCGGGGCGAGTATCTGAGGATTTCATCGGAGGATGGTCTGGTGGTTCCTTGATTATCGCTCCTCCATTATCGCTCCTCGCTCCTCGGTCCTCGGTCCTCCGGCAGAAATAAGAGCCATGGGACGGTACTCAAGATGGCGCAGGCAAATCAACTTCCGGTGAGACCGAGGACCGAGGAGCGAGGAAATTAAAATAGTCGACCTGAGAAGCAGCCCAAGAACAAAACACAACAAAACGAACAAAATACAAGAAGAAGAAAAGTTAGTATGGCGATTTCAGATAACACACCTGCTTCTTTTAAATCAACTGTGTGGGAACATTTCGGGTTCCCTGTGGACTACAATAACGATGAAGTGTGCGAATGGTGGATCGGACGAGGACGGTGTGTCGGCGTTGTTAGACAGCGGTGCGGTATGCTAATAGAAACACACGCCAAACATGCTAAATCATATCAGAATGCATCACCCAGATTTGCCAATCACCGGAGCCCGGCAAAAGACAACAGCAGTTCAGCAGCTTATCCCTGCTGTATTTAAGAAGCCAATAGGCATGAAAGCAGTGAGACCAAAATAAATAACGGAAGCTTTTGGCTTATTATTTATGATGTAATATTTTCAAGACATTCTTTTTAGTTTTACAGCTTGATGAAACCTTTTTGTTTGACATCAGCCATTATAGATAATGGCCATCTGAGTGTTTGTGGTACTGTTTGTGGTTTGTTTTTAACTGTTTAATACAGTTAATTATTCCAAATGTCAGAGTTCCTTATTTTTAAACTGAAACTTGCACTACTGTTAAAAAATAAATAACAACAAACCTGGAATTATGCATTTGGGACTTTTTTTTGCTTTTTCTTGTTGTACCGAACCGTGACCCCCAAACCGAGGTACGAACCGAACCGTGACTTCTGTGAACCGTTACACCCCTAATAGACAGCATTGCAAATGGTCAGGTAGGTGGTGAAGTCATGAACACTGGTGTTAACTAAGTAGATTGACTCAAGTACTGTACTTAAGTACAATTTTGAGGTACTTGTATAGGCTGCTACATGACTTGAGTACTTACTTACTTTGTTATTTTTACTCCAATTCAGAGTTTAATATTGAACCATTAGGCTACTCCACTACATTTATGTAGTACCTTTAGTTATAGATCAGGGTTTCCGCTAGGATTTTTTCTCGCCGGTCAAATGTCCGGGCAGAATTTATTTTACCGGACAAATTTGAAACTTACCGGTCATATTTCAATAATAATAGTAAGAGTTGTGTAGCAGAGTTTCCGTTAGCAGGTAATTACCGGACTATGAGCAGATATGCTTCAGTTTAAAACTCAGTTCACGGGGCTCATTTTTATATTGCTTCAGTCTATAATCGTAACAGATCGAACAATTCAGATCCATTTTTCAATAAATGATTCCACAAACAACAAACAACATAATTATTACATTCAAACAAACTACTTGTAGTAGCCT